GACCTATAAAACACAAGAGGCCTTTGTGTCTAACTGGCTTGGCCATTAAGGTTGCTGAAGATCACAACAATGCTGATCTTTTCTATTTAAGCTAAATCAATGTGGACAAATCATTATTCAGTAGCTTTAATTTAATTAGTAAATTAAATACACTACTTTACAGATCTTGTCAAGTACTTATGAAAAGAAAGATTCATTTAAGCGGGAGGTCACCAATAAGCCCAGCTAATTTAACTCATAGCCTTAACTGAATCTCATCTCAAATATCCAACAGATTCTAGTCACTAGGGTTTAGTACCCTCCTGCAGTGTGGTTAACTCTTAACCCCAAAGAGTTCCTATCTTGTATCCAAACAGTGTTTTGGACAAAAAGCAAAACAAAACAAAACAAAAAAACCCCCAGCATAACCAGCATCAACAGAATCAGATTTCCTTTAAATTATACTATTGCAAAAGAATATAATCAGGTTACCTCTATTATGTTGCTTCCTTAAGATTTTATATGATCTATACTTAATTGAGATACAGAGTTCTTTTCAGCTATAAAGACGACAGCTACTTTATTAAGGTTTAAATCTGATTTCTTAATGATAGGCTGCTTCCTTCAAAGACTCTAAATCTGTACAACCTTCTTATAATGAAACCAGACCTGGCATGGTTGAATCTGATTCTTAAGTACTGCCTGAGAGTCTCGAATGGGTACTAGTTTCACAGAAAGGTCCCTGATTTTTGTTTCACTGTAGGAATTTGAGGCCAGCACTTAAAAATTAGAGAGCCTGTGTTTGAAACCAGGCACGATGGTGTGCACCTATAGCCCAGCTACTCAGGAGGCTGAGGCAGGAGGATCACGAACCCAGGTGTTTGAGCTCAGCTTGGACCACATAGTGACATATTGCCTCTTAAACAAAACAAAACACAACAAAACAAAACAAAACAAAACAAAACCAAAAACCCAAAAAGTCCGATGCCAAGACCAGTATAAGGACAGAAAATTATTTCTCTAAGACAATTAAACATAAATATGAAAACATTCTCTTCTTGTATGGGTATACATCTCTGATCAGTTAAAATGAAATCAAATCAATTTACCTTTTAGAGGTTTGTGACTTCCTTCAAAATAGCAAAATATATCCTAAGGAGTGGCAAAATCTGACTGAGAAATCACTGATTTTAATTATAATGGCATCATAGTTTTTTTTCTTTGAATCTAGAAAGGCAGAATTTATTCTTAATTTCTCAGGGTTTGTGATACACAGAGTTTTCTCAACTAACCCTTAAGAATCTATATTTGTATGTACAATTTTTTTAAAAGCATGTATCTATTTAGTCATTAAGTTCAGGTCCTTAAACACTCCCAGGGAAGAGCAATAAATCTTCCCTCTGAGGACCGGCCTGAGAGGGAAAAGTTGAGGATAAAGAGAAGAGCCATAGTCCTGCTATTTATGAAGTACGAGCCTGGGTCTTTCTGATCTCACAATATGTGTAATTATGTGTTCCACTGCAGCCACTCAAATGCTCAGTCCCTTTGCCAAGCTAGCTATTCACACACTTTTTGGATATGGCATCAATTAAACGAGTTGTGTTCCTTATGACGACCAAATTAATGGTCTGACAGCAGCTTTCTCAATAAACATTGCACACTGGCCATATTTGAAGGTTTAAAAAATCATTTCTTTTCTGTTCAAAATTCTGACAAACATGTCTCAAGTAAGACTGGGAATAACTTCATTATACTCCCAACACTTAATGCCTTTTTGTAAAGAAAGCTATTTAATAACATGTCCGCTCTGTTTTCACAACTAAATTATTCCAGTTGGTCACACGTTCTAGTCTTTGGCAAGACACTTGTGCTTTGAGAGATAAAAACATGGAAAAGGAAATATATTGCAGAAATCAAAAACCTTATCTACTTCTAGACTCTCTCTCTCTTTGCCATAATTCATTCAAGAAGGCCCCAAGAATAATTTTTGATGTAAACTCAGCTACAAACATACATCACTATGCTGATAAAAATCACAGGCTAAACTTATGAAATATAGTGACTTTCATTTCTTTAGTGATGTTAAAATAACTTTTTTCTAAGGTTCAACAGACACAAAGATAAAAAGGGTTACCATTAATCCTTTAAAAAAAAGAAAGAATGAAAAAGAAGACGCCTCATAGATTAATTCTGTGGTCTGATGATGGTCTGAGGATGAACTTTTAAGATTGAGTCACTGAATTAATTTAATGAAGACACTGGAAATCATAAAATACACAGCATCAAGCTGATTCACTTAATATATCTTTGGGTACTTATGACATAAATTACACTGAATAACTTTTGGTTTCTAAATTCTGGCTTCATTAAGTTCAATTTCAAGTCAACAAACTTTCATTGAGACAACTCTGCAGGCTTTGTGCTCGGGATTGAGGATATAGAAACTGGTCCCTGGGTCAATTAGTTCAGTATGGAGGTGGGGTAGAAGGAAGGGGTAGACCACAAATAGATAAATACAACTCTGAGGTGCTTAACTGGAGGTATGTACAAACTCCTGGGGGAAAAGTTAATGGAGAGCTTGACATTGGAGCTAGATCTTGAAAAAATGCGCAGGCTGAGTGTGAAAGGTGAAGGGTCAGGGTCTGAGGTGTATTCCGGGCAGTGGGAACAGTAGAAGCACAGGATGCATCATGTGCAAGTAGTTACAGTGACTACAGCCCAAATTTGAGATGGGAAATTATGGGCTATGAGACTACTGTAGTCAGCTGGTTGTCAATGTCTGTAAAGGTTATGCTGAGGAGTCTGAATTTTATTGTGCAAGCCTGTTACCTTTCAAATCTTTTTAAGCAGCAAAAACTTTTTATCATCTGACTTTTAAAATGCAGAATCCCCAGACAGAATTTCTTTGGTTGAAGGGGAGGCCTCATGCCCAATCCTGCCCTATACACAAATATATACCCCCAAGGTCCCTCTGAGATCCCTAGAGTTTCTGAGGAACATGGCCTGAAAAGCACTGCTGTAGGGGACAGGGACTTAGGAAGTATTTTACTGGAGTAGTGAGCCTTTATTCAGAAAGTGCCACTCTGGAGACAGAGTGAGAGAAGAAGAAACCTTTGTAAGACCCACATGTGAAGTTTTTACACAGAACTATCTGGTGTATCTGAAAATAAAACAAGACTTTTTTTACTAGACTGTCAATACTGAAATGATGGAACCACATCTACTCTGTATCCCCAATGTGGGGAACATGGCCTCACTTACACAGATGTGTAGATGTATAATAATTACTTCTTGACTGACTATTCCACGAGGTGACTGGGAGGTGCGTAGCTGTGAATCTTTCCTTCGTTCCCTACTAGGCTGGGTGTGTTACATCCCATACCTTTCAGTGCCTGAATCACCACCCGGGCACCGTGAGTGTCCTGATGGGAGTTTAAGGGAAAACTGAATCCTGCCTTCTATTTCTTTCCCTAACCTTTCCACTTCAGCTTATCCCTCTATGCAACACAGAAGTGATTGCCTTTTGTTTCTCAGAGACATGGAGAATTTATAAAATGTAACTTTTCAAAGCATCCTCAGTTCTTGGAAAGAAAGATGCCAGAACAATGACATCTTTATTGGTCAACAAGCTCAGTGAATGGGATTAGGAAGAAGATGTTTATCTGAAGGTAGAGGGAATCCAGTAGCTTTGGGGCAAGGCCCCCAGAGCAGCAGGCAACTTTCTCACGGCATCTTGCAGGGTCAGAGGCCTTATTGCATGACAGGAAGGGCGGGAAAGGGGTGGGATGGCCTTACTCCTTTCCTTGTGTCCCACTATGTTCTCTCTTCTTGCCAAGCTGTAGCCTGATGAGTTGAAAGGAGGAGAATATGTAGCCCAGCTGGGTTTGACACAAAAATTAAATGCATACCTATAAATATGGCGATGTGGCATGTGCCCAGCCTGTAAGCCGCTTCAGGACTCAGTGCTCTTGAGGCCCCAGTTTAGTCAGGGTTATCTCAGAAACTTGAACCATATCATCAACGCTTGCTGGCCTTTACATTTCTTACTGTTCCTTCTCAGTATGAATGTTCCTTATAACATTCGTTCTCAAATTTAGTGGACAGGGGATTAATAAAAATCAGATGCTTAGTCAAGTGACCAAATCAGAATCTGGTGGGGTGAGCCCTGGGTAACTGCATTTTTTAACAGGCTCTGCAGATAATGCCGATATGTACTAGAGTTTGCGAACCATTATCTTATAGCCTTCTTTAGGCAACTAATGAACCTCTATATAGTTTAAACTTTTTCTTCCATGGATAAATTTCAGTGTGATCTATGTGTCCTTTCTGGTCCTTGATTGGACTGGAGTCCTAAAAATGATTAAGTGATTAATCTAAATGCTATACCCAATTACTTAACTGAAAAAATATAATATGCCAAAATACACAACTGGACTGTATCTACTTTGACAATTTAAGTGGAGGAATGCCAACCCAGCAGCGATCTCTTCTGTAGGACTAGGCAAGAGTTTAATTATGAGCTGGCAGGTCATGCAGCTGCCAATAATCTGGGGGGTGTTGACACCTCTGGCATGATGGATATCTAAATCTAGTTGTCAGTTGCCTTGGGAAATCCCCCAACTTCTCTCGATCTCACATGGAAGGAAAGCAGGTCCAGGTCTGACTGGCCAAGTTCCCCAAATGGGATGGTGAAGGGAGCACAGTGTGAAATGAGGGCTCTGCTGAGTGCAAATTCCCAGTAGAAATCTGGCCCCATGCCCCCAGTCCCCAGAGCAGAGCTGCCAGGTCAGAAGCCAGGCTGCAAGGTTCTCTGCTGCCATCGAGACAGAACAGGATGGGGGCTCATGTCAAGCTCTGGGCACCTTAATACAATCCCGTTTGATTAAAAGAAATTTCTGGTAATGAATTAAACAGACCCAAGGAAAAAAGGACACAGGGGCAATATATTCTCCTGGCACCCAGACAAGAGGGGAAGAGAGGGGAAAGAGAGAAAGGAGACATAAATAAAAGGGACTACTCACTGGGGCTTTTTTCTTCAGCAAGGTCACAGGCACAGAGCAGGTCAGAATCGATTGAGATGGGTTTCTGCTTAATCCAAAACTTAGTGCTGGCTTTCTGATTCGTAACAGGGTCTATCTCCACTTTGTCTCCAGAGATACCTGTAAGGCCAAGGGGAGGACAAAAAAGAAGTCACGAGAAGTGGAAGGTGTAAGTGATTTCAGTGTAATCATTTGACCCGTTTTATAAATCCCAAATTGTATGAACATGAGCTCTTTCTTAGGGCTTTGGAGAATGCCGTGAGCTTCTTTAAGACAGACATATGAAGACTCCAAATGGCACACACAAAAGTAGCACAGTCTGGTTTCCTAAGTGGGTGAGTTGGGGGTGGGGAGCAACATCAAACTATATAAAAAGATATTAAGAAACATGCCTTCTTAAATATAACAGATACAATATAGGGCTTACTTACATATTGTTAACTGTATATTACCTCCTCAGTGTAATGAAATAAACTATAAGTTTCATTTAAAAACAGTTTTAATCTGTGTTTTTTTTTTTGTTGTTTAAGAAGAAGATCTGGGGTGGACAAATCTGCAACATCCCCTATGCCTAAATAGCTAAGCTAACAATGGACAGTTTCTGATCTGGGAATACCTTACATACTAAAATAGGGGGAAAAAACCCTCTCTCTTCCTTTCTGTGACACTAAATAATTATTCAAGCAACATTTAAAGGAAGTCACAGGAGGATCAAAAGGCCCTTTTCATAAAACCTTCCAAATTCAAGTCTTGGAGCCTGGCTTCAGGCTGTGGAGGTCACTGTTTCTCTGCTGAGTGAGAGACTCGGCACTGGGTATGCACTTTATGCAACAAAGACTTTATAACAGGAATCCAGAATGTTAAATATTGGCACTTCATGTTTCATTTTCAGAGCAGTAAAAGACATAACAGGTTGTACAGTGATTGGGAATAAAGGTGTTCATAGAACAAAGGTAATATCAGGTACGGGAAGTGTTCTGAGATAAGTGTGGAAATGCACAGCAGTTGTTTTCTCGGCGTTAAGGAGAGTACACACTTAGCTCAGCTAGGTCAGATGTGCTTTCTCCTCTTTCACTGAAAATTGAAGAATCTGTACATGAAACGAGACAAAACCTTCTACATGCCTTCTAGAGTGGGCCCCATATGGAACCTTAAAAGTAATTAATTTTTAGGCCATAGTTTAAAGGTCAAGGTCAAAGTAAAAAAAAAAATGAAGATCTATGAAAGAATTAAAATAATCCAATGTACATATTGCAACAGGAAAGGCAATCAGAGTTAATATATTTTATCCTAGCATCACAAAAAAATTTTTGAACAATATGTGAGAAAACTTAGTAGGTCAAAAACAGCTGCAGATAAATGAAACAGTTTAACTAACTGTCTCCCCTCAAAAACCCCAAACCACAAATACACACATCCCAACAACCACAGTCTGACAGAAAATTTAAATTAAAAAGAAACAAATACAAACAAAATCCTAGTGATGAGGTCTGCTACACACTCTGTTCGTGTCTATGTGTGAATAAATAAATCCCAAATACCAGTTAGACAAAGGCAGAAGGCTGTGTGCAGACAGACTACACAGAGCCTCCATGCTGTCTTCAGCGGAGACAATGCGGCGATGGTTGCTTAATCTTGGTCATTACTGTGTGGTCGTTGGTAAAGACAAAAAACTGGTATTTTTTTACTGATTGAATGCTTGAATTTGTCATTAGAAGTATTTCAGGAACACCACATTTCAATTAGGCATAATGTCGTAAGTCCAATTGACTCTGGATGTTCAGGTCTAGATGATTTTAGGAGGGCGAGGATGTATGAGGAGACCAATTTTATTACATTTCACTTAAAATAGATTACGACTACCCAGTTACATTCTTGCCTCCAATTTGGTCATTAATTGTTAAATATCTGGACATTTCTATAGTTCCTTAAAGAAGAAAAGTACTTAAGCCCTGGTTGTTGGCAGCAAGTGTGTTGTTGTGTTTCTCCTCTTTCAGTTTCTTATTTTAACATTTATATGAGTCAAAATGAGAAGAGCAGAATGAATGTGTGTATCTCTTATGTGGAAATAAACCCTGCTCCACCTTCTCTACTCAGAAAGAGAGGGAAAAAAATCAGCACCAGAGACAGTTTTAAAATTTTGTTCCATGGCCCTGTAACTCCTGAAGCCGTAGTCAGTCAATATTGTTAATGTACCTTGTTAATTTGATAGGATTTGTCAGGTAACTCCACTGGAAAATTATATAAAACTGTTCCAGATGAAAAGATGATAGTGACATGAATTAAAGTGATAGAACAATAGTGGAATATAAACCAGAAATGACACCCAAAGTGGTTGTTGATTTATTGCCGTACTGAGTTTGGTTCTGGGCTCCCATGTATATTAGTGCTACAAATCTGGGTCCATTTAGCAGAGGGACGCTCATACATACATCACCAGCTCCTGCTCCAAGCCAAGGTCACTCCCCATTGCATCAATCTTTTCAACAGAGCCTACTTCACAAAGCAGGACTTTTGTAACCATCTCAGATGTAACAGACTCTCGTCCTCTTTCATCTTTCTTTTATCATGTAAAGTACACTTTAACTTCTATTATTTTTATCTGCAAATTGTTACTGTATAGTTCATCCATTACGGGCTGTATCTCTGCATCAATGCCTAAGCTCCCCACAGCCACAAGAACACTTTCCCAATGACGCCCTTTCCTAGGGTTATTGTGCAGTCAGTGTTCACAGAGGTGAACCCCAAGACTGGGACTTGGGGATGAAGATGTGGAAGATGAATGCAATAGGTTCAAGATGGGCAGACAGGTGGAACACCATTTAAACAACTGGTGTATTCCAAAAAAATTGCCTGTAAATCAGATTTTTTTCTGAATTGAATCACATTTTCCCACTGACTTCTAGTTCCAGAGATACTTTATCTTCATTTTGGATTGATCTGTAATTGGCAGGAGCTCCCAACACTTTAGTTTTAAGTTTCTCTGCCCTGTAGGCTTTCAGTCAAGTAGTTAATGATCTGTAAAACACTCGCCTGCCTAGAGGAGTCACTATTTAAAGGAACCTGTAGGGGAATCTTTCCTGATGGGAAAAATCCTTTCCTACATTAAATAATCTCACCCTACTTGAGCTGTGAGCGTCTGGGCATCTTAAAGCAGCGCATGAAGCCCCCACAGGACCTCCTTTGCTCCTGACCCCACGGGGCAGCCCTCTGCTTCAGTCCAGGAGGACCTGCAAGCGGCTCATGGCGGAAGCACACCCAGATCCCACTGCTGAAGAGACAGAGAGAGCCTAGGCAGAATCCAGCTAGGAAGCAAACAGATGTCTTCTGTTCCTGGCCTGGGAGTCCTAGGTGTTCTTGGTTAAAAGGAGTTAGCTTGGGGGAGGGGAGGCCAGTTAGGAGGCTGGTGCCATAGTCTAGGCCAGGCCCAGGGATGGTTGGGGGTAGGGTGGAGTGGGGATGGGCACATTACAGATAAAGGTACCAGGCTTGGGCCAGTTACACGATGTGGGGTGTAGGGGAGAAGGGGAGTTGGAGAGGAGCCCGGGGCATCTTTGTGGTGATGAGGAGAGGGAGGGAGGAGGAGGTTATGGAGGCCAGGTTGGTGGAGCTCCCATGTGGGGAGGTTGGGTAGTACGACTGTGCCCCACTTGTCACTATCACTTCTCTATGCTCAAGGGAGTGGGGGCCTGGGGCTGGAAGCAGCACTGTCTTCCTGTGACAGTAGAGCACTGGGAGAAGAGGGCAGCTGCAGGCATGCTCTCTGGGGCTCTCTTCCTCCACGCAAAGAGCAAAGGTGCAGCCCTTGCAGGCTCACTGCCACATCTGCTTCTACAGGCTCAGACACCAGAAATCACTTGGGACAACTGTCTCCTTAGGCCCAATAGGTATGATGCCAATTATAGACAGCATTCATTGAACACCTATGTCTTATTAATAACAACTAACATTTACTGGCATCAACTATGTGCCAGCATGGTTAGAAATCCATTGTGTAAATTGATTTAGATCTCTTAACATTCTTATGAAGTTGGTTACTATATTTATTCCTATTCTATAGAGGAGGAAACAAACACAGGGAGGTTAAGTAACTTGCCCCAGATTACCCAGCTCCTAAGTGGCAAAGTTGGAACCTCGTTCTGGAATGTATCCTCTCAGTCAATATGTTATTCTACAATAATTGTGCTAGATGTTTCACATAACATACCCTAGCAGAGGGGAAGGTGCTTGTCTAAGGTCAGAGCTCTTAAGTGGAAAAGCCACTGTTCAAGCCCAGTCACTGTCTGGTTCCCAAGTCCTGGTTCTTTTTTCATTTCATTTATTTTATTTTAAAGATGTGGGTACAATTCGGGATTAGGTAGGTAAGTGGTCATCATACAGGTAAAGTTTGGGCCTCCCTTTGGTCCCCACTTTGCCTGGTTTGAGATCAGGTACACTTATTGATGTTATGTGCCCCCCTCCTTCCCCTGGTAGTTTCCTGCTACTGCCAATCCCTTTCCTATAGTGATATGATAAATATTCAGGGTCTGCTTCTAAGTGAGAATACATGGTACTCAGTTTTTTGTTTCTGGGATAGATCATTAAGTATGATAGACTCTACATCCATCCAAGTTGCTGCAAAGTCCATAATTTTGTCCTTCTTTATGGCTGCATAATATTCTATCATGCATATGTACCACACTTTTTAAAATTCAGTCTACTTTTGATGGGCAGCATGGTTGGTTTCACGTTTTTGCTATTGCATTTTAAGTCAAGATGATGCAACACAGAACTCCGCCCAAGCAGTCATTAGTCTCCTCTTTCAATTTTCACTAAGGAGTAAATTGATGTTCAAATATGCCAGTAAATGCATATGTTTATTTTTGTTCATACATGGCAGACTGGAGCATGAAGCCTAATCAATATTCTTTTTTTGATCACTGAGCATGGTTTTTTTCCCTTGGTTAAAGTTTGAATGTAAAGTCACCAAAGGAAAGGTAGAGGTACTTCTTAAAGTGTCATTTATGCACTATTTTAAGTAATTCACATTATAAATGTATTTGTAAGAAAATAAGGGAAGTTAGCATTTGTGAAATGAACATTTCTTCAACTTAAATGGCCAACAATAGAAGAATAGTTAA